TTGCTCAGCTTCTTCAACCACTAGCAACAAAACCTCCTGCTCCGGAAATCGCGCGGAGCCTCCGTCTGGATAACTCGTTGAGGGGTTTAAAAAATAAATAGGTAAAGCCTTCCGCGCGGTCGCAGCATGTGTAAACTCTGTTTCACTTGAAGTGAGAGTGTAGTGGACGCTACAAAATCGAGCATCGTGCATTTAGCGCCCCTGCCAAGTGGCCAGGCAGGGAGGCTTGTAATGAAAGGGTTCTTCAGAGCATGATGTGCGTTCATGTAGCTTTGACGTCACTCTTAACTATATGTTGCAGGTTAAGTCACTGGATGTTGGCAAATTAGCGCCATTGAATTCCCCGCTTCTAGAAGGTCGCAAACGGATAATAACACAAAAAAAAAACACCTCACAAAGTGATTATCTGATCAGTCATAGTTGCCATGGCGATTTTCATTTCGGTCCATTCAAATCTCCGAAGCTTCGGAGGGGTATTTGTGCAGGTAAAACTGCTTCTTGATATTGCTTTTTGTTTCAACCTGTGACAGTTACTGATCGGTCCGACCCGAGAAACAAATACTGGTCAAGCAACGTAAGACTTACTGTTTGTTAGCAATATGGTTGAAGTGGACGAGAATGATATTATAGATGGAGTGTCAGATCATATGGTGCTGGTATTTTCATCGAACCTCTCGAAAAAAACATCCCAAAACGCCCGTCCTGAATATTTAGCTGACGATTTCCAAAACGCGGATGATACGTCTGTTCTTGACTACTTAGAAGGGTTTTATGGATTAAGAGCAACTTAGGTCATTTTAGTACTTAGAAGAGCATTTTGATCATTTCAGTCGTCGATCTGATGTCAACGAACTGCGGAGAAAGTTTAAAAATATTGTATCCCACTGTATATGTCGTTTTGTTCCTTCAAGGAAAGTGAGAGCACAAAGAAGGCATCCTTGGATAACGAGAGAAATTTTGCAACTAAAACGAAAGATAAAACGGCGAAGAAAACACAAAGTCAGAAACACCACTAAGATCTATCCGAATTTGAGACGTCAGTTAAAGGATCTTGTGACGCAAGCAAAGGAAAGCTACTGTGGTAATGTGTTCTCACGGTTATTGAGGGAATCCCCACAGAACTTTTGGCGTTTCTTTTCGACTTCGAAGGAAGAAATTGCGCAAGTGTTAATCAATAATGAAGTTGTCTCTTGTCCTTCTGCGATTGCGGAAGAATTCAACAAATACTTCCAATCTGTCTTTACGGTGTCACGTGACCCACAGGTAGACCCTGTCGTCGTACCCTACGACTCACAAATGTCAGAGTTGGTTTTGTCTGTATGTCGTATTTTTAATTTACTGTTGATTATAAACGATAAGAAAGCATCCGGACCAGACAATATACCCGACGCATTTCTGAGAAGATATGCAGAGTGGGTTTTGCGGTATTTATATTTATTTTTTCAAGCATCCCTTCTTCAGAGCAAGTTACCAGACGACTGGCTTTGTGGGAAAATTGTGCCCATTTACAAGTCCGGAAACAAGATGGACATTAAAAATGATCGCCCCATATCCTTAACAACGACATGCTGCAAACTTTTAGAACACATAATTTCAATACATATAAATAAATACTTAGAGGAAACGAACTTACTGTATGAACACCAGCACGCGTTTCGGCAGGGTCTTTCGACAGTCACGCAGCTAATAGAGTGCACACATGAGTTTGCATCGGCAATAAACGAACTAAGTCAGGTTGACGTAATATTTATGGATTACTCTAAAACATTTGACCGGGTACCCCATGACAAATTAGTACACAAATTAAACTTATTAGGATTAAATCAGAGTTTGATATTTTGGATACGTTCTTATTTAGAAGGAAGAACGCAGTATGTTAGCTGTAATAAAGTGTGCTCTCCTCCGTTAGCAGTTTACTCAGGAGGAGCCCAGGGATCAGTCTTAGGGCCCCTTTTATCCTTAATTTATATAAATGATATAGCAACAAGTTTCCATCCTTCGGTTCAAGTTAAATTGTTTGCATACGACTGTATGCTCTTTTCAAAAGTGGCTAGATTTCAGGACCACGAAATTCTCAACCAGTCCCTGGAAGACACCTTTTCGTGGAGTAAGAATTGGGGTATGGTAAATAGTTTTGATAGAACTGTCTCTTGCTGTATTACAAATAAAAAAAAAGGTCTCAGACTTCCGCTATTTTATAGGCGGAATCGAACTCAATAACGTAGAAGAATTTAGGTGTTTAGGAGTTATTTTAGCTAATACGCTGCGCTGGAATAGTCACGTGGATTATATATGCGCCAAGGTTTATCAGAAGTTACGCTTTCTTAGAAGGCATCTTAGGCATGCAAATAGAGATCTTTGATTAGCTACGTCTAAATGTTATGTACGTCCAATTTCGGAATACGCGGGGTGCGTATGGGACCTATACAGGAATCAGGAGGTTGCGGAAATTGAACGGATACAGAATGTGGCACTTCGGTTGGTTTTTTCTGAGTATAGGCGCACCGAGTCCGTTACGGCAATAAGAAATGAAGTGCGGCTTGATTGTTGAGAGAAAAGAAGGAAGGTGTGTAGATTAAAGGAATTATACGCGGTGGCTAATGGCTTGACAAAGGTTAATTCTGAAGTGTACATTTTAGTTTCAACATCACGCTCCAAAAGAACGAACAATACAAAAGCAATTGCACCCTACCAGTACAGAAATGATGTATTTAAATACTCTTTTTTTAGTCGGACTATTATTGAGTAGAACACCCTGCCAGAGCAATTTGTCAATTCTTGTAGTCCTGAATTATTTGAAGCACAACTGAATGAATTGTTTGGTTAAGTTTTGCATGTGGAAATGTATATTTTGAGCATGCGTGGGTAGCTGCCACCTACCTGCGCTCGCTTCACACGGTAAGTGCATGATTGAGATACTTATTTTCTGTATGTTGTTTGTCCCCTCCTGTGTAGACCGACAAGTCCACAGTATTTCAAATAAATAAATAATAAATAAATAAAAGTCGACATTGACTAGAAAATAAGGTCGGCTGAGTCACGTGACGTCCATTCGAAATGGCTCTGCTACGAGTCGCACCGCACGTGACGTCACTGTCTTGTCGCACGTTTCCAATATTCACTATGACATGTCATACGACACTTTTGAAATCTATTCATCTGACTAATTACCCCCCCCCCCCCCAAAAAAAAAAACAATGACAACAAGAAACTTATTCGCGGATTCAATGACTGCAAAAAAAGTTGATTAAATTTCTGTGTGCACCAATTGCAGTTTCCAGTTTCGAGCGGTGAAGGCGTGGTAAGTTCCATGCCTTCATTTGTCGAGTCTGAGAAGTTGATTAGAGAACTGATAGAAGAGCTTAAGTCGCTGGTATGTTCTGCCATGCTTTAATGGCTGAAGGTTGTTTTTACGGTTTAATGTTGTTAACGGTGTAGTAAGCCTCAAGTCTAAATAGCCGCCTCGGTGGCTACAAGGCGAGAGCGCCGGCCTACGGATCCCCATGTGGCGGGTTCGAATCCCGGCCAAGGTGCCCGGAATCGGACGGAGGCTTATTGCGGAGAAGGTGCCGTGTAACCGAGCTTTCGGTTGCACGTCAAAAGATCGCCAGGTAGTCGAAACGAATCCTCAGTCCTCCGCTGGGGCGTGCCAGATGCCCGTCGTTGGGTTGGCACGTAAAACCCCAAATTTGACTTTTTTCAAGTCTGAATAAATTGTACGGGTCGCCAGAAACTGAACGTCTTCACGTTCTGTAACGACACAAGTCTGCCGGGGATCCCATACTTCGGACGCATACCATGAAATCGTATCATGGTGCTACGAGACGTAACATGATACCATGACGTTACATGATAATGCGATGCCACATAATACTGCAGCGTCACGCGACACCATAAGGTCTCCTAAGACTGTGACCTCACAAGTGACACTTTGACGTAGCGTGACATTGCTACGTCACGATACGCCATGATGTCACCTAAAGTAATGACGTCACGACTCTACCGCAAAAAAACACGCGGGGTCCGCTGCGATACCTCAGCTATAGCGGCTACCGCCGTACAAATGCTTCCTGCCCAACGTAGTCAAATTATAGTGATTTAAAATATCGTTTGGTTCAAATATAACTCTCTTGCTCTATATTGTGCTACATATTCAAACCATGCTGTCCTCAGAAAAGGAGATGAAGTCAGAGTCGAAGATAGCTCAAAGAAGAAACGTTTTGGAGATTGACAAGCTCATTGTGAATATTTAAGGACTAGATAATGTTTTTTTCTATAAATAAATACGCCCGTAAAAAAGAAGTAATTAAAAAAATACCACAAATGACAATTGCCTTTTCCTACAAAATGAATACATTGCTAATGTTCTGATACATAGCTCTACTAAGGGCAGTATTTAAGTATAGTACTCGCGAGAGCTTGGTTCCTCAATCCGGAAAGGCACTTCCTTGCAATATAATGACGCAAACCGATTTTAGAGCGAAAAAGATCAAAGTTACACAGAATTTGTAGAAATTTTTTTCAAGCACTGTTTAAGTGGCTAAAACTTGCACGAAAATTGTATTTATTTTTTTTTAAGTGCAAGCAAAAGTCACGTTCACCTCAGATAGTCTTCTTTTTAAAATGTTGCTGGATTTAACCTAACGTTAGTCGGGTGGCTGAAAGGGCAGCGCTTGTTAGCTATTACCTCTTTTGTGCTGTGAGAGCGTGTGGCTAGAGCTGGCTCACGCAGATTGTAGCCAGACGCGCCTAATTCACTTTTTTGTAGTGCATAAATTCTAGCAGATACTGACCCATTTAAAGTTCCGGGTGAAGAATCCTGGCACTCCTAATATTTGTTCTCCCAGCAAGAGACCGGAGTATGTTACAAATGTGTTGTGCTAATGTAAAATATGAGTCTACACTAAACACCTTTGTTTAATTTGCTCACTTGCTGTCATAAAGACGTAACAAACGCCACTGTGTATATCTGAAGGAATAAGGTTAAATTTATAAATCTCTTACACCCGCAAAATATTCTGCAGGTAAGGGAACTGCTTGACATGTGGCCCCATGATAAGTGCATCATCTTCGACGGGTTGGACATGGATGCCGTTGGAGACGACACCGGAAGGTACCTCAGGTGTTCTATAAACCAAGGGGGATACAGCTATACATTCAGACGCTTCGAGCTGCTCAAAGTGGTTTATGATGAAATGGTGGCCAGATATGGTAACCCGTTTCCACAGGATGCGATGGAAGCACCTCAAAGATGGGAACCATTTGAAGTGTGTATCAGCTATGGTTGTTAAAACGACCTTGTTCGATATGAACATCAGCCTGCTTGTGTACCTATCGGCTTGTGGTGGAGGTTGGAAATAAAACAGAAAGCATGAATAAAGGCATGCCTCCATCCAGGATTGTAAAGTATCTAGGTGCAAGTAACTGGAAATTGGTATCTAGGTACTTTTGTTGCACCTGAGGTGCAAACCTAGGTAGTTTTATTTCTTGGTTTCTGTATCTGCATCTTAGCTACACTTTACAGTAACTTGAAACTAAGTGTACTTATTTTTTACAGGTATTTTTTTATTCCCTTCGTTAAAATGGCAGAAACTATAAATATTGAAGTATTAACACACTTCCTTGTGCTGTGATTAACGTTGAGTTGTGTACGACCTGGGAGGCACTGACTTCATCGAACGACGTTTTAGAAAACAATGTTTCATAAAACGACACTTTAGCAAATGGCGGTGTTCATTTGAGCGAACGGTGAATTAGCGGTGCCGTTCTAGCGACACTAATTTATCCAATAACTTCGGAACTTCGTTTATGGAGTTCCGAAGCTTCGTTCATCTCAAACCGACATCGACTTCATTGCATGTTTGAAGCTCCTCTGATAGCTATACAAGGGAGGAGATAACTTGAAAGATGTGCGCAGTTTCTGTTGCCTGTATCTTGACCTGCTGGTGGCTCTCTTCTGCCATGAATACAATAATACAATATGAAATATAATTGAATATAAATTATAATTACAATCATGAAGTAGTGTAATATCGACGTATATAATAGAGTTTCCACTCAATAAATCGGACTCAAATTTTGCAGTTATCAAAAGTGAAAAATGTTCAAAAGAAAAGAAAAGCTTATTTTTCTTCCGACTAACAAAAAGGACAACAACTACAAAAAAAAAAGTCGAGGAAGCTAGAAGCCTTTCGCTCGTCGTTGCGAAGGTTAGGTGCATATGCAACTCGACTCGTGCGTTTCTTCATGCGGCCGACGTCTTCTGGGTCCGCCAACGTCAGCACCGGCCCTGAGGGCAAGAATGTCCACAAGTGAGTTTCAGCACTTTCGGCGTGACATGTTCAATAGTGGAAGCTGTGGCCTCGATGAACCAATTGAAGTATGGGAATAAGGCACGTGAGGACTCAACTCCGATGTGCACATCGCATTGACACCAATAAAGTGTATCGAACTCGTTTTTGTGTGTATCCTTAGTATAAAAAGCTTTGCTTCCAATATATTGACAAATTTGAGGAAGAGATATCAATGAAGTATCTTTGAAGTAACTGTACCTGTACCTAGGTACATTTTTAAGCGAGTACCTAGGTGCATTTTTGTATGAGTACCTGTGACTGTATCTTAGGTAAATTTTTAAAGTAACTTTTACAGCCCTGTCTCCATCTTTGACTTATCAACTAGAAATACCTTCAGCTGAAGCATGGTTCTGCAGGTAGTACTACTATATATGGTGTGGAAGTTCTCTGAGTCCGAACGTTATCACCGTAGCGTAATTTGGATCTGTAGTAAAGCATTCGAGTGCCATATCTTTTTTTCTTTTTTTCCTGTCAACTTGAAGTCAATGCATCGCGAGTGCGGACAGAAGAAAATACGTAGAGCTTCCGTGTGGTTCCTCCATGTCAACGTTTTCTCAGTCTAGCATCCTAAACACCAAAGACAGCGAACCGACCGGGGCACCGTAACAGGGCACGTGACAACGCATCAAAGAAGAGCCCTCCATGTAGAGAACTGTGATGTTCCATTCTCTGTCGCTTTAATTAGCTTACTGCAGCCATTGCGTTCTACGTCTACCAACTTAAATGGGTCCTGCGCATAATTTTGAACGGATTAGAAGTTTTCGCAAACAATTAACTTGCCTTGGCGAAAAATAGTAGGTCGCTATTTTTTGCGAACAATTAACTCACCTGTGCCAGGCAGTGACTTGTACACAGTCACTGTATTTTAGTGTTTATATGCAAAATAAAATTACAAAACACAAGCAAAAACAACCGAGCAGTCCTGTGTGACTCCTCATACAGCGACGGCAGCGTCACCTTATCGGGCCCTATTTTGCATGAAAATTACCTTTTTTTTCCTCTGCAAGTGCCACACAACAAGAAGGATATCTCGTCATTTTTGTCACCTATATAAGTGACTTCCGCAGTATGCGTTGAGAAATACGACGAAAGGCCAGTCAGTCACTATCACATATAACCTCGTAAACGTCCGGTATGGCGTCGCAGTCTGTGTAACACGCCGATTAACCACGACTCCAGGGTCTTCTTCGGTCCCCAACACTGTTCTCATGGCAAAGTCGTTGAAGTGTCCAAGTTGGGCATACGGCCCACCCTCCAATATTGTTTGAAGAGGCCATTTTTTTGCATGTGGTGTGTGACCACCGCCTTAAGGTGCAACCTCACCCCTAGTTAGTGTGATTCTGAACCAACAGATGGCGGTGGGATCGCCTTCCAGTGGAGTTGAAAGAGTTGTGGAGGAATTTGAAAACAGCTCCACGAGGAAAAGTGCTGCTAACTGCATGGGATACGTAGAAGAACTCAAGCAAATCATCCTTCAACACTCCACGAAGGCCCGAAATGGGCGAAGGCGGAGAAAGCGCTGGTGGGACGCGGAGGTTCAAGCTGCCATCCGAGTACGGAAAGAACTGAATAGAGAACACCGCATGGCCCTTCACATGGGGACCAGAGACGAAGTCGAAGTAAAATGGCAGATGTACCAGGCGCAAAAGCAAGCCGCAAAGCAACTGGTCCAGGAGAAAATGTCTCAGGCTGACTTGCAAACAATGAGAGACATTAGCTCAAGCGGGAGAGATGCGCCTAGAAAGTTCTGGAGATACCTTGGAACCCTGGATGGGAGAGATCAGAGGCTGGCTATACTCGACGAGAACACAAGGATGACAGCAGACAAACTTGGGCATAGCCTTACAGACCACCTAGTGAAGATATTTTCGCCCCCGGGAGCACCAACACCTCAGGACATCTTACCACATCAAAATCCGGATGGTACTCCGGTTAATGTCGACGGTGGAGAAATCGGCAGGGTGTCAATTATACGCGCTTTGACTAACCTAAAAAGTAACACCGCACAAGGACTGGACGAGATTCCGGCAAGCGTCCTCAAAGCACTAGGGAAAGGTTCAAGGGATCAGCTGGCAGGAATTTTTAACAACATTGCCTCTGGAATAGAAGAAGTTCCTGGAGACTGGAGGAGAGGCAAAGTCGTTCTTGTTCCAAAAAAAGGTTGTGACCAGCGTTACCTCTGCAACTACAGACCACTGACTGTGACCAGCACGATATATAGAACTTTCGTACATATTCTGAACGAGCACATGACTGCATGGGCAGAGGAAGAAGGCTTGCTTACGGAACTTCAAGGAGGTTTTCGACGAGGTCGCCGGTTGGAAGATCATCTGTTTACGCTAACACAATGTATTGAGGTTGCCCGCAAGGAGCAGAGGATCCTAATATGTTGTTTTCTGGACGTCGCCAAGGCCTATGATAGTGTGCCGCATGCCCAGTTTATTTATCTACTACAACATCTTGACATGCGACCAGAGTGGGTCACCCTCATCCACCGCCTATACAGTGGCAACACGGTTAGGACAAAGTTAGGTGAGGCTAACTCTGAGGAAGTGATGGTGACAAAAGGCTTACGCCAGGGGTGCCCACTCTCTCCACTATTGTACATGCTTTACGTAACCGGACTCGAAACGCAACTGATCCGATCTGGACTGGGCTTCTCGTTGGCTCACTTAGAAGATGGTCTGACCGTCGAATGGGTTCTACCCGGACTTACCTACGCAGACGATGTAGTACTGACCGCGGCATCAGTCTGCGGCATGCAGAAACTCCTAGATGTCTGTACCGAGGTAGCAACGGAACTTGGATTGAAATTCAACACTAACAAGTCAGCAGCGGTGCTGTTTGCAGGTCCACAAGATCCAACATTTGGCAGTCTTCGACTCGGGGTGGACTGTGTACCTGTAATGAACTCGTACATGTACTTGGGCATTACACTCACAAATACAGAGGACTACTTGCAAGAGCATCACGCCCGTCTCCGCCAAGCAGCCATCAGAGGAACCAGCATTCTGCGTAGACGGAATCTCTGGAGTTGCAATAGATTCGTTGTGACCCGGGAGCTGTGGAAGGTGGTGGTGGTACCAGGAGTGACTTTTGCTAACACTGTGGTGTGTGTCCCTGGAGATATCCGAGCTCACATAGAACGTAGGCAGAGGGAGGTCGGGCGTCAAGCGCTAGGCTGTCATGGTACATGCAAATGAGGCTGTCCAGGGTGATTTCGGATGGTCCTCTTTTGAAGCCCGCGAAGCTACCAGCAAAATCGCCTACGACGGACGTCTCCGACATATGGACACCTGCCGGTGGGCCAAAAGGCTGTTCAGGTACACTCAACTGACTGGGCTGCAGACCCGCTGGCAGAAACGCCTATACCAGCTCGAAAGCAAGTACGGTTTTTTTGCGGACCCTGTCCAAGCGTCGTCGGCCACGGAATGGGAGAGAGAGGTCCGGAAAAAGGTTCGCGACCAGGAAACACAGCAGTGGCTCAAAGATGCCCAATTGAAGACTACGCTCGATGTGTATGTTGCAAACAAGAGGACCATCGGCTCGGAGGCTAGGCTATACGATAATAGCCTGGGTAGTCCTTTGCTATTTGAGGCACGAGCCGGGGCACTAAGGACTCTTTCTTACAGACGTCACTTCGATTCTACTGTGACCACGAGCGTGTGCCGGGTGTGCGGGGCCCACGACAAAACAGTAGCACACATTGTACTGGAATGCGCAGGACTCCGGCCATCCCAGTCACGAGACAACGACCGTGACCTTCAAAGCCCTCTGGAGCTTGCCGAAGTATTGGGCTTCACGGCTACTAGAGATGGACACCAAACCAGTGAGGTTAGGCCAGCCGCACCAGCGGACAGGCCTGCCTCGAATGAGACTACGGCCTCCAGTGGCCCACATAGGCCGTCTGTCGAGGCAACAAAGAGACGATTAGAGGACTGGTGGAGAAAGATCTACCTTAGGGGGCAATAACACGCAAATGCCCCCAGGCTTGGGCATGAATATTGTTCGAGCCCGCCCGATCTAAAGGGAACAGCCGCATCATCATCATCGTCATCATCAGGCCTGTACATCAATGCGAGAAATCGTGTGTGGTGGCGCTTCGATACAGTTGGATATTCTTCTATATCCAGAATTGGACATCCCTGGTCCCTTGCTCGGTTTTCTCTGCATGAGCTTTCTTTGGAACGCGCACGGCTGCGCCAGTTCTCGTGCAAGGGGGCCAGTTGCCCCGCTCCGAGCTCACGTCTCCAGCAAATGTAGGCAGAACAAAACGCGAAAATTGTCCTGAGCCAAATGGCGAAACACATGCACAACAAAACTACCGACGCGTTGAAAATGTAAAATTGCCTGTGCGCCGTTACCGGAGATTTCAGAGGCCAATGACACATATTACAATGTGATCAGATTTATGCTTATACGAATGAAGGTGAGGAGAGGAGGAACAGTGAACTGAAAAATAAAGGTTTAATCGGCGAACTTGTTCCAAACAAGAAAAAAAAGTAAACAAAGAGCGTCGAGGCAGCAGAAAAGCGGGCGGCGATTCGGCAGTGTAACAAAGAGCGAGAGCGAGACTGACTCGACAAGGTCGCTGGCAGCTGCTTGTCTAGAGTGCGTCACGTCACCATCTCGAAAGTTCGGCAAAGAAGGTTCGAGCATCGCGCGTTCGGGGCCAGGATGAACTGGGACTTTCGAGGATTAGAAAACAGGGCGAAAGTTCCGTCTGGCGCAAGAATGAACGCGAATCTTCCGGAAGTCCGTGACCGAGCTTTGCTTTCTCGGCTCTGCGGGCGGCAATATGACGCGCCGGCCCTTTTATCGTGCATGTGTTTGGATCTTTGTGGATTTTCAGCAAAACGTGATGACGTCATAGTCTGGTTTCCGAAATTCCAGCTTGAGGAATTAACTACCTAAAAGAAAAGACTATTTTTTGGGCGGTCAGGTTTCTCATTTAGGTAGCTGGGTGTTTATTTTGACCCAAACCACGAGACTGGAAAACACAAAAAATGGCACTCAGGTTTAGATGTTGAGTTTGGTAAACCCAAAGTAGGACTGGTGCACAATAAAAAAATTCCAAGATTAAAAATAAACTCACAGCAATAAAGAATAATTATTACTTTTAATAACGAATTCGGTGATAAGTGCCATGACTGACCATGCAAAGATTCTGGGTCTGTTGATAGCTTTTGCTCATAGTTTAAGCAACTTGCAGGGCGTTACAAAAGAAAAAAATACAGGGTTCCTTTTAACCACAAGAATAAACTAGGCATCGCCGAACGCTCATTTTCCGCCCATAGGTAGCGCTAGAGGTACAACCAGATGTCAAAGTTTCAGCCCAATGCGATACCTTCTTCAAACATTATAAGTGATTTTCTGAAAAGTTCAATGGGAAAATAGCAGCCGACGGAGTTTTCGAATACATGGGGCTCTATGGCACCAGAAACGAAAAACAGGCCAAAAATGGGCTCCATTTTTCCCATTGGAATTTTCTGAAAATCACTTATAACTTTTGAATAAGGTGTCCGTTCGGGATGAAACTTTGGCATCTGGTTGTGACCTAGCGCTACCTTTGGGCGGAAAATGAGCGTTAGGCAATGCGTAGTTTATTTTTGTGGTAAGAAAAAACAACCCTGCAAATTGTTTTTGTGACATCCTGTGCCAGTCTTAATTTGGTGATTCATGCGCGCAAGTATACTCCGTATCATCTTATGTTGGACCGCAGCGAAGGCTAGAAGCGCGAGCTCATAGCGTTGGCAGCTGCCCTTAATGCACGAGACCTTGTGCCGCCGAGATCTACCCCAGAGCAAGGAGCTCGCGTTTGTAGCCTTTCCTGCGGTACATCATAAGGTGAAACAGAGTATAGTGGTGTGCAAAAATGAAAACGATGCAAGCGGGTAGGCTTTGACGTTGTATAAAATATAGTGTAAGCACGCACATGGTATTCTGATTAAGAATGAAACAGCCCTACGTTTTACACTAGCGTTGAGCGTGTCGAAAGTTAAGGGTGCATCAAAAGCTAAAGCTTGTACACATATACTGCTCAGGCCATTGTGTTTGAATGCTCATAGTAATTAATTACCCTCAGATTTGGTGTAAGTTGTCTCCTGATGGCTTACAACACAAAGAAGGAAACATTCTAACTCTGGGTTGGTAGAAAAACTCCACCTGCGAACGGCCACCAGTTATCTCGGCGCCGATTATGAGTATTCACTGCATGTCAACGGTCGCGTGCTTAGAATGAGTTTTTCCCACGTGATTTCATACGATCACAATTGTTCGTGACAAACAACAATGTTTAGTCAGGCAAGTGGTCATATGTGAAGCTTAGAATATTTACTATTGGTTGTGGCACACGTGGCAAGTTGCATAATTTTTTTTTTTAGAATCCGCGAAAAAGAATGTTTTTGGGTTACCTTGGTCTCTAATAATTCATGTAGCACACAAAAGAGCACGAAGTGAATCGCTGTGGGAAACGAAAGCAATAATGATAAACAAGCGTGTAATCACGCGAAAACTGAGGGCATTGCACATATACAGAAGGTAAGCTTTGTCTCACTAAATACATTACCAATAAAGTATTTGGTTTTATCCTGCGAGCGAAGCGAAACATACAAGTGCGAGTATACTGTCCTGAAGTACACCTCCAGTGTAGAAGCGCACCATCCAAAGCACCGAGCTCGCTTTTATAGCGTTTGGTGCGCTCAACGATCCCCCACTGGAACAAGCGCACCATCCAAAGCACCGAGCTCGCTTTTATAGCGTCTGGGGAGCTCAATCCTTTGAAAACACAATTATAATCAATTCTATTATTTCAATTATTTTTATTAAGTGCGCCTGTGCGTTTCTTTTTTGTTTTTGTTTTTTACTTTTACGGCCACATGCCATTTTCTTAGTTATATAATATTTTTCCAGAAGTCTGTTTCATTATAAGTAAGAGCCACATAATCAAAGATGTAGACAAAAAATAAAAATAAAAAAGAACACGAACACAGCAGCAGCAGCAGCAGCAGGCAACCTTTAATTGCGCCCAGAAAGACTAAGCGATTGGTCAGAGGCCCATCTAGGAGTCTCCTCCCAATCACCCCTTAGGCGACGGCCAGAATCTTTTGGACTCCAGCGGCGTCCTCGGCCAGTCGGACGACTTGTTTTTGCACCTCAAGGTCGGTGCAGAAAAGAAGAGCTTCCCAGCTCTCTTGGTTGGTGATCTTTTTTAGTAGTGGCTGGGCTTTGCGGTCGAGCCGGCTGCATTCCCAAATAATGTGGCGAAGAGTCGCTCTTGCACCACATAGCTGGCAGTCTCCCTTGTAGCGATCCGGATACCATCCGCTGAGCTGGGCAGGACTATGGTAGGTGCCTCTCTAGTCGCCGCCAAGCTACCGCTTGTCTTTTGTCCAGCGAGGGATGTGCCGGAGGGTAGCGCATCCTTTCGCCGGCGTAATGATCGAGGATGTCTCGGAACGTAACCAGTCTGTCGCCCCCCGTCGACGATTCGATGGAGGGGTCCGACGTTGCTCCGGCCCGGCGAGTGAGACCTCGGGCCGCGTCGTGAGCCTCCTCGTTGCCGGGGAGCGACGAGTGTGCTGGAGTCCAGATCAGCTTCACCTTCGCAGTCTTTTCAGGATCACCTAGTACTCGAAGCGTAACCGGCGAGATCCGTCCCTTGGCGTATTGGCGAATCGCCATCTGTGAATCGCTGACAATGATTTTAGCGTCTTGCAGCTTGAGTGCCAGAGCGATGGCCACTTCCTCGGCTACCTCCGGTTCTGTCGTCCGGACACTGCAGCTCGCAACGATCTTCCCTTGCTTGTCAACCACGGCTGCGGCCATGGCATCCCTGTCGTACCTCGCAGCGTCCGTGTAGTAGACGCCCTCTTCCTTCTGTAGTAGTCTTCGAAGGGCCTTGGCTCTCGCCGTTCGTCGCTCCACATGGTGCACGGGGTGCATGTGACGTGGCAGGTTTGGGATGGTAAGCTTCTCCCGGACCCGTCTCGGCACGTCTATTTTCTCGCCCGTTTGTCTTTCGTAGCGGATGCCCAGGTTTTCAAGAATGTGGCGCCCGGTCGCGCTCTTTGTTAGCCGTTCGAGCTGAGACGTCCGTTGCGCCTCGACGATCTCTTCCACGGTGTTATGTAGGCCCAGCGCCGCCAGCTTTTCGTTTGACGTAGAATCCGGGATGCCAAGTGCTCGCTTGTAGGCCTTCCTAATCAAGCAGTCAAGTTTGGCTTTCTCCGCCACCCCGAGCCGTAGGAAGGGAAGGACGCATGCCAGCCGGCTCACAACGAAAGCGCGGACGAGGCGTACAAGATTTCCTTCCCTCATTCCGAAGTGACGGCCTGAGATGCGCGAAATAAGCCGGGTGATCTGGTAAGTTGACGCCTTGAGCGATTCGATCATCTCGTAGTTGTTGCCATCCGCCTGGACCCGCAGACCCAGGATGCGAATGCTCTTCACCGACGGGATACGCAGTCCTTGCGAGTAGAGCGCGATGTCCGACGGCAGCTGGCGGGACCGAACAGGTTTGAGGAGGAGGAGCTCCGACTTTTGTGGAGAGCAAGTTAGGCCCCTCGGAGTGACGTACTCCTCAATCGTCCGTATCGCTTCTTGTAGCGTGTCTTGGATGAACCCGTCACAGCCGCCGGTCATCCAGAGCGTGATGTCATCTGCGTATATACTGTGGTGCAGCCCCTCGATCTTGCTGAGCTTCGCGGGCAACTCAATCAAAAAGCAGCAATTTCGTAGGACGACATTGTTACTCGATGAAGGTTATAAAAAGTGGAGTGCAACTGTTAGCTCGGGGTCTTTAAAGTGCATTACGCAGTATATGTGATACACGATCGCACGACGGTAGGATGCAGATGGGCGACTGAACCCAGGGTCCCTGTTAAAGCCCCTTCATACAGGCGTTTTTTACAAGTATCGCCAACCATTATTGTGAAAACGCGCAAGACACGTGCCACGAGCGGGCGCTCCGCCGCCATTCGCTTTCAAGGGCCAGTCATTATATACCCGTGCCCACGGTGCCCGTGCCACACGGTCAACTCGAATTCCATTGACAACGAATGACATTTGAAGGATCGGACAATCAGCGCGCGAAACTCCGAGCGTGGGGCGTTCAACGAGCGACAGATCGCGAGCCGATTCGTTGATCACATGACTGTCATTCGTCGTAAATAACATTCGAGTTGCCCGTGTGGCACGCATGCCCCACGGGCAACTCGAATGTATTAGTGCTGCGTCGCCATTTGTGTCCAACGGCCGGTCGAAACACGGGCCTCGTGCACTGGCACTTTTGAGGTTATTTGAAAGACCAACGCAAATACATAGAGGGGATTTAGTCCCTGCACGCTCTGCAGCGGGAGCTCCGTGCTTTGAACGGAGCTCGCACTCGAGCATTTCTCCACGTGCTCTGATATGCGGTGCCACAGCACACTCGACCAACGATCCCCCACCGCACTTGATTTATCCTGTAAGCTAGACCAAATGATCTACACTTAGAGTATCGGCAATTTTTCCCCCGATAATGTTTTGGGTGCCGCCATGTTGGTGGTTTGTGACAAATCAAATGCAACTGCCGGTCGTCATGATTCAAAAGAGCGACTTCCTCAGCAATAGTTTTGGTGTCAGGAAGCTCATGTAATATTGCTTTGCTTTGTCGCCAACTGTTCAAACGTTTCTGGCGGACGTAAAAGCGTTTCCTGTGATTTCAGATAAATCTTCAGATAACTGACAACCATCATTTTAAGCATTCATATCTGTATGAAGCGTAGCTTAATTAGTGGGTCTAGTTTAGCCCGACCGCATAGGCACAGAAAAAGAACGAACAGCTTAACTTCGTGCTCTTGGCACTGCTTCAGTGGCTTCATCAGCCCGTAGCGTTGGTTGCGCTCCGAACTCAGGTAAAGCAAAGCAAATATTCAGATCTTAGGGTTTCACAAGACAAACCAACAAAAAGCACTTAACACGCCCGAATAAAAAACATTATTGCGGGTTTATTTTGACTAACCGTAGATCTTTTGACGTGCAACCGAAATCTCAGATTGGCCTCCGTCGGATTGCGGGCACCTCGGCCGATATTTAAACCCGACAAACATAGATTCATAGGCCAGCGCGTGGGCTGAGAGGAACTGAGACATTTTAATGTCATTGCCACTTAAGAGCCACCGAGCTGGTTTTTGAAACACAATATAATCGAACCATTCCGACAAGCACAGTTTGATATCGTAAATGATTTATGCAAGTCATAAAAACATTAAAATGTTTTCGCATACGTGGCGGAATCTGAAATGGCAGAATGCATTTCATGGCGCCCATTTTTTGGATCGCGTCGGGCATATGTACCTACGCACAGTAGAACGCGCGCAAAAGTAGCTGTGGTGCACCCGCAGCCTCGCGCTTGTTGTTCTCACATCTCTGGCTCGCTCACTACGGGCATCCAGGCAGGTGACACCCTGACATCTGGCGCTTTTCTGTCTTTCACGTGGCGTTCCAAGCGGCTCACGACGGAAAATGCACATCAAGCTGTTCTTGAACACGTGTCGCCATCTGTACTTTATGTTAAGAAACTACAATTCACCGTAACTGAATGGGAAAAGTTTGAGGTCTTATAACATTCTTAACGTGTTATATATCGATATGGAAGTCCTGGAAAATGTAATATCGAAGGATGCTTTCTAACTTAATGTCTCGTTACTTTGATTAGTTGACGTGATTCCGTTTTCATAGCGCCATAAAATATTACAACTTTAAACTTTATTTTTTATTTTAAAATATACATTATCTGTACAGTTTGTTTCTTACTTTTTTATTTTATTACATCTAACCGAACGCTCACGTAAAATATCGTGTACTATGGGACGTTATAACTCGAGAAATCATTTTTTTCAATATTAGAGACTGTGGTCTATTAAAAGCCAAATACTTAATAACCAACTAAAAATAATCGTAATATCAAGACATTAAAGCATTGTTGAGAAACTGCTCTTTAATTTGACACTAACGTTATAATTGTAAGATACATAGAAAGAAAGTTATAAGCCGTCGGAAAAGCACCAAAACGACATGCACGGTGGGGTTGCACCTTAACAGCGGAGCTGTTAAGGCGGTGGTCACACACCACATGCAAAAACCACCGCCTTAACAGCGGAGCTGTTAAGGCGGTGGTTCCACGGCCCCAACCATAATAGGGAGTTTTAGAATAACGTACGCAATTTTAGCGCGTGCTAGCGCTAAATTTAGCGCTTGTATTAGCGCACGCGACGCAGGAGAGTTTTAGAATAGCGTTTCTCCGCCGCGACGCAAAAGCCCAAGCATCTCGCGCTTGCGACGCCACCAAGATGCAGTAAAATATTTTATTTCACACACGAAATGCTGTAACTTTAGAAAAAAAAACGAGTTTTTTGGTCTAGAGTAGCATTTTAATTTGTTTAAACATGAGAACGCGACGCGAGCGGTTGACCGGTCGTGTCCGCTTGCGTCGCCTCAGCAAGAGAGGTCTCGTGTACTGACCTTCGCACATCGTTCGTTCGCCGTGAAATGTTCGCGCGTCGCAAGCATCAAGTTGCCGGTGATCGCTGCCAAACCGAGTACAATGTCGTCCCGTATTGAAAATTGCAGTCGCGAGGATGCCGCCGACGTCGAACTCACGACGCCGCCAAAACAGCCGCCGACATAATCCTGGAAGCCGCCATTTTTTTTAACTGTGCTCGTCTTGGCTTTAGCCAACTTTTCATCACGAATCCTCCTTGGAGAAGCGCAAAGACTCTTTGCGTACGCACGCTATTTCCGAGAAATAGCGCGCGCTAAAATTCCGCGCGCAAAGCGCAGAACCTGGTTTGCGTTCGGAGCATGCGCAGTGGCGACGACGCTATTCTTTGCGTGCGCAAAGCTTTAGCGTGCGCTATTCTAAAACTCCCTAATACCGACCGGAAAGAGTTGAGCACGTTGGTTACACATACTTAAAGGAGCTATGCAACAATTTTTGTACTTTGCGCAAATACCGCTTAAAACGGACCCCTAACGTTAATGACCTATGAAACATGCGTTCGTTTTTCACCCCACGCAATAGAAGTCCCAGAAAAAAATTTAAGAAAAACGAGCAGTGTTCACCCCCTCAACTCGCAGCCAGAACAAGCGGCCACGTGATCTGGAGCCGATTATATGCCGCCAGTGTTGATCATAGCCACGCGCTGGGGTTGGCAAAACGCAGGACACGCGCTGATTTCCAGACATTGTTATGGCTCGGCTGTTCTCGTCGTTGCAGCGATTGGACATGGGTCACTACCCGAATGCTTCTCGAGCTAGCAATTGTCACGAGCCCAAGTCGAGTGCCCACGCAATGCTCGGGTCCAGTCTATGAACCGCATTCAAATATCGTCACTTGGGTGTACTGCGATCCCCGAGTTACGTCATCAAATTTTGCAAAGGAGAGATTGAATGAAAATGATCGCTTTTGTCCTTGAAATTACACCGCAACAAAGGAGTTTCTTGGCCAATGGCGTTGCGTGTGAGTATCCTTGAGTCCCAGGTGTGCCAGTAAGCTCGTGTAGAGAGAAAAACATTCCAATTGAATTTCGTTGCACAGCTCCTTTAATAGACATCAGCTGAACAACACAAGCACACAAATGTAAGAAGGACGAGATAGACGCATTCAACCGCTGGACTACCAACTGAAATTTAATGAAACACTTCATCTTCATCGACAGGCTAGGATCAATCATACCTAGCTTGCTTCACTTCTTCCTCTTTTTCCTCATTATTAAACTAAGGCATCCTCCTCGTCTGTCTACTTGTGGGCGGTACTTCCCCTCGCAAGAACGTTCTCTCTTCTTTGGTTAAGGTCAGAGAGGGTGAACTAACACACATGTCCCCTTTCTCTTGTATGTTTAAAGCTTCTAAAACCTCGCGTGCAAACCGGTTTCGATGGTGCCCCATGACGGTAACTTTGTCTAGGTTCGCCTTGCACTCGCAGTCGCGGCAATGTAGGGCTAAGTGACCTGCTGCCGTCAAGGTCTTCAAGCTATTGGCATGTTCCCGAGTCCTATCATTTATACACCGCCCGGTTTGGCCGATGTAACAGCGGCCAAACCGAAAAGATCAACCTTGTTTTGATGCAAGACCCTTTCCGGATTTCCAATTCTGAAAATGTGATTTCTTTTCTAAAAGAAAAAGGTAACATCATCGTTTCTGGGTTTCCCGTGGACGTTCAAGATATGTACTACTCCATCCCGCATGCACGTCTACTACAAGTTCTTCGGTCAAACATAGAAGATCAAGGCCTCACGTCATTCCAGAATGCGGCAGGGATGCAAGTAGATACCTTC